ATGCCACCATACCCAGCTGATTTTTTAGTAGAGATGAGGTTTCACCATGTTGGTCAGGGTGGTCTCGATCTCTTGACCTCGTGATCTGCCTGCCTTGTCCTATAGCTTCGACTCCCCGGGCTCAGGTGATCGATCCTCCAGCCTCAGCCTCCTGAGTAGCTGGCAGTCCAGGGCCATGCCACCACACCCGGGTAATTTTCTGCTTTGTGTGGGTGTGTGTGTGTGTTTGTGTGTGTGTGTAGAATCAGGATTTCACCATGTTGCCCAGGCTGGTCTTGAACTTCTGAGCTCAAGTGATCTGCCCGCCTCGGCCTTCCAAAGTGCTGGGATTACAAGTGTGAGCCACCATGCCTGGCCAGTTGCTGACATTTTTAAATGTTGTGCCCCAATCACAATTTTTGTGTAAGACCTTTGGTTGTTACTGTGTGTATTTTGCACAGCACAGAGATTTTTTTTAAACATACACTATGTTATAGGATAACAGAACAGACTATACTGTGTTTATAGCCGTGACACTGGATGAGGTCATTCAGTGGGTGAGTGTAGATACAGAAGAGGCGAAGGTTTGTATCCAGGGACACACCAACTATAACAGGCCTAGGAGAAGAGGACCCAGCCTAGGAGCTGCCTGGTGAGATGGGAGGAAGCCCAGGAGACCAGGGTGTTCTGGAAGTAAAGTGAAGAAAGTTCAAAGAGGCTTGAACGCCCACATCTGACGCTGCAGAAAGACCAAGGAAAAGAAGAGGAGTCACTGAGAAGTGACCACTGAATTAGTACTATGGTGGTCTTGAATAATTTTAATAAGTGCGATTTTGGTGGAGTAGCAGCAATAAGTCTAACTGGAAAGAATTTAATAGAAAAAAAGAAAAAGAAGAATACATTTAAAAAATAATCATGGAATAAATTTGCTTTTAATACATGTCTTTTTCAAATAAGCTTTGTCATTAAGTGCATATTTTTGTCTTCTTTGGTATCTGATAGATCAGGATCTGTTTATAATTTTTAAAGATTACTATAGAGTTCTGGCCAGGCATGGTGGCTCCTGCCTATAATCCCAGCACTTTGGGAGGCTGTGGCAGGAGGATCACTTGAGACCAGGAGTTCAAGACCAACTTGGGCAACATAGCGAGACCAGCCCCCTTTGTGTGTGTGTGTGTGTGTGTGTGTGTGTGTGTGTGTGTGTGTGTGTGTGTGTGTGTGTGTGACCTGGTCTCACTCTGTCACCCAGGCAGGAGTACGGTGGCACTATCTCGGCTCACTGCAACCTCCTCCTCCTCAATTCAAGCAATTCTCCTACTTCAGTCTCCTGAGTAGCTGGGATTATAGGTGGGAACCACCATGCCTGGCAATTTTTTTTGTATTTTCAGTAGCATTTTGTATTTTCAGGAGACGGGGTTTCACCATGTTGGCCTGGCTAGTCTCGAACTCCTGACTTCATGTGATCCGCCCTCCTTGGCCTCCCAAAGTGTTGGAATTACAGGCGGGAGCCATTGTACCTGGACTTTTTTTTTTTTTTTAAGATTACTTTAGAGTTCTTACTATGTGCCTGACATTCTGTTTAAGAGTGCAGATGCTAGAATTGAGACAGACATACTCGTGAATTCTGGTTCTGCCACTTACTAGTTGTCTAAAGTAAGGTTTACCCTTTAGATTACTAAAATGAGGTTAATATTCTAACTCGGTCGTTGTCAGGTTTAGGTAAGTGAAGTGCTTAGCATGGTGTCTGACACACAGAATGGCTCATGAATGTTATTATTAATAGATTCAGGCTGGGCACGGTGACTCACAGCTGTATTCCCAGCACTTCGGGAGGCCAAGGTGGGTGGATAGCTTGAGCCCAGAAGTTAGAGACCAGCCTGGGCAACATGGTGAAACTCCATCTCTACAAAAAAAAGTGCCAAAAATTAGCCAGGCGTGGTGGTGTGTACCTGTGGTCCCCGCTTAAAGTTGGGGAGACAAAACAGAAAATCAATTAAATAAGTATGTAAATGGTTGATGAACAACTAGTGCCAAAAGAGACTGAGACACCTTGGAATTAAGATGACCAGGCAAAGTGAGATTTCACATAGAACTTAAAGAAAAATTGTTCTGAGAAGGGATTCTTTTTTTTTTTTTTTTTTGAGACGGAGTTTCGCCCTTGTTGCCTAGGCTGGAGTGAAATTTCGCAATTTTGGCCCATCACAACCTCCTCTGCCTCCCAGGTTCAAGCGATTTTCCTGCCTCAGCCTCCCGAGCAGCTGGGATTGCAAGCATGCGCCACCACACCCGACTAATTTTGTATTCTTAGTAGAGACTGAGTTTCTCCATGTTGGTCAGGCTGGTCTCAAATTCTCGACTTCTGGCGATCCACCCGCCTTGGCTTCCCAAAGTGCTGGGATTACAGGTGTGAGCCACCGCGCCCAGCCAGGATTCTTAACTCTTGCAATATACCTGCTACTCCGCATGGGGCCGTAAGTACAGTCATGTGTTTAAGCCTCACCACCCACTATGATGAGGCATTCTTCTTCCTGGTTCATGGGTGAGAGGCTCTGAGATGCTTATTCGCTTGCTCTGGGTCACCAGTTAGCAGGCGGCTAGAGTCAGCCTGGGCGTGCATCCTTTCCAAAGTCCATGCTTGGTGGCGGCAGAGCAGCAAAGCAGGGAGGTGCTGGTCAAATCCACTCTCTGCCATTTGCAGGTGATAATAAGAAACACACAAAACATCCGTAACATGTAAAGCCTCATTTCAGCCTGATAATGTACGTCATCTAGAGAACTACAACAAAGCAAAAAAAAAAACCCCAAAGAAACAAGCTGCATGTTTTTCCTCTTGACCTTTTTTGCCCTGGGTAGAGTTAATTCGTGCCCAAAAGTGGTTCAAGAGAAGGTGAGGGAGAAACAAAGGTGGGGAATTATCAACAAATGCATATCAAGAGGTGACTGTGCTTCTGGGGAAATAGTTACAGTGCAGCGTGTGTTCTCTTCCCCCACCGAGCTGGCTGATCTGGGTTTTCATCTCTCCATGGGCTACATTGCTGCAATCCTGGTTCCTGTATAGTTCCTGCTGGGATACCTAACAGGAGGGCAGGCATTGAGATTTCCGGAATGACTCCACTCTGGCTGAGCCTCTCATTCAAGCTAAGAATGGAAGGCCGCAGCTGGCCTGCAGGTCATGGTTCTGAGGAGCTGCCTAAATCAGTCTCCACCGCCTGGCCATTAAGAGTTCTCAAAGAGTCTCCTTAAGCAGACATAGTTTAACCAGCAGAGATACATTGTCATTGTCGTTTTCTTAGAGTTCAATTTCTGGAAGAGAATGAGATATATTTTATGCTAGTCATCAAGTTAGCTACTTAAAGCATTAGCAAGTACAGTCTATTCACCCACTGTCACCTGGTAAAGGCTGTGACTCTGAAGGATATACCCAGGACAGATAAATGTTGATGGGTTGAGAGAAAATGAAACATGCGTCTTTGTCAGGCTTCTGTGAGATTTGGAAGGAGGGCCTTGATGGGGAGGTATATGTGGTTCCCAGGGTTGTCATAACAAATGACCACAAACCGAGTGGCTTCAACGACAAACATTTATGCTTTCCTAGCTCTAGAGGTCAGAAGGCTGAAGTCAAGATGTAGAAGGGTTGGTTCCTGCTGGACATTTTGAAAGAGTGTTCTATGCCTTTGTTCTAGTTTCTGGGAGTTGCTGGCAATCTTTGGTTTTCCTTGGATTGTAGAGGCAGCTCTCTGGTCTCTGCCTTTGACTTCACCAGCTGTTTTCCTTGTGTCTCCGTCTCCGTGTCTCTTATCTTCTTATAAGGGCACTGGTTGTATTTTATTAAAGGCTTATCCAGGATGACCTCTTCATAACTAATTGCATCTGCAATAACTCTATTTTGAAATAAGGTCACATTATGAGATTCTGAAAATAACATGAATTCTGGGGGGACACTCCCCGACCTGGTAAAAGAGAGAAGCATAAAACCACGAGACTTTGTTGTTTGGGGACGGAGAATAATGAGGAAAGGAGAGGAAGAGCCTTGGAGACACAGCTGAAAAGATACAGCATGCTGTAATGCAGGCGGGGTTACATGAAATAGATATCCCATCGAATGGGGAACTCGAGGAGAGTTTAAAGAAGGAACTATTTCAGTGAGTGTCAGGGTTAAGTAAAAAATCAAACAAACTAGAAGGCAGCAAAGCCTTCCCTGGTAACAGTGGCAGGGCTCCATTTTCCCCAATCCTCCTGCCCTTCCCCTTGTTAGAGCTGCACCATCAGGGCCTCTGTCATCTGCCTGCTCCATGGTGCCCTTCAGGTCCCACCCTGGGCCTCCCTGATGCTGAGATGCAGGTGCCTATGGGATCCTGCCTGGCCTTCTGGCATGTGTGACCTGGAAATGCGGGTGAGTCTGTGGGGTTGCACTTCGCTTGAAGAATGAGGGCTGGAAGACCACTGGTGCACATTCCTCGTTTTCCTCCCCAGTAGACTGTATGAGGTATATTTCATAAGATTTCGCAGAAGATTCTGAGGGTGAAGCGCCCATTGAAAACAGCAGTGGCCCACTCAGGAACTCATCTTTGTTGGCTTTGAGCCTCGCTGTTGTTCACTCTTCCTGCCCCTCATTCCTCTTCTCTAAGCTGAGTTTCCTAATAGACCACCTGCACCCAAGCCTTTGTCTCAGGCTTTTCCTTGGCAGAAGGTGTAAGGGGCACGCAGGGTTACCGGGGGAAAAGGGAAGGGGAGAGGCTGGGGAAAGAGCAGGAGCAAGCTGATGGTGAAGACAAATTGCTGTCTCCTGGGAAGAAATCAGTTACTGCCAACTGTAGGACCAGCAGGTAACAGGGAGGGGAAGTACACAGTCCAGACCCAGCCTCCTCCCACCCACTGTCCCCTGTGAAGACATTCTATGGCTGAACCAAATCCCAGAGAGTGAGGAAGGAGCTCAGTTAGTAGAGGTCCACCTCCCAGTACACAGAGCAGGTGGGAAGAATGGAGAGGTGAGCTGGAATCAAACAGCGGAGGCCCAGCATGACTAGGTTTGTTCACATATCAGTTTTCCCTCTTACTGACCAGAGCCTTACACAATTGACACAACACTGGCGTAATTCATAAGGTCATCTTTTCAAATGGGTAAGTGCTTCTAAGATGAAGTTACTTTTCCAACTGCACAGAAAGAACTTTTCTGCAACCTAGATTCTTATATTTATTTACCATCATTGAGCATAATGGTCTCAGTAAACCTGGCCATCGTCTGAGTTAAACAGCCTCATATATTAGGAAGAAAGTGGACCAGAATTCAGAACAACCCTGATTCAAATCCCAACTTTGCTACTAACAAGTGATGTGCTGTTAAGCCGGTGTCCTAACTCTTCCGGGTCTCAGTTTCTTATCGTAAAATGGGTTTAAAATCTCAGCCATATATCACAAATTTTTTGTGAGGATTCAATGGAACAAGATATTATAGATGGTGGCTTTTAAGAAAATGCTCATTTGGGTAAGTGCCCCTATTTTCTTACATTCATAGATACTGATGGATATTATTAATGAATTATACAGCATTCTAAACATGAGAAGATTTCTCTTAAAGTTATAGTTGGATAATTGAATATTTTATCGGCCCTGTCGTTTTGTGATCAACCATATAAAATATCCGAGAGTTAATAGTAAGTAACAAATGAAGACGGTGTTTTCCAAATGCACTCAGAGCTTAATAATCTTTAAACCCAAATTGGTGGAGATGAAGTAATTTATGCCCAGACTTTATGAGACAGTTTGTCTGATTGCTGATAGTGATGAATCACTGAGGGAAAGACCCACATTTCTGTGCTGCTGGAGGCTTTTACTTAACTCCTGCGTCAGCTGATCAGCGTACAAGCTCACTGGCAGTGACTTCTCTGTGGAAACCCAGCATGAAGGGACTTCTCATCTCGTGGCTTGCTCTCAGCTATTTGAAAATGTTTTATGAGACTCTGTGACCCATATGTGCTGACGGAAGAATGTGCTCTTTCTGAGGTGCAATCTGTCTTGCATCCAATAATCAATCTGAAATTTTGTGAAATAGAACATGTTTATTTTTTTCCTTATCCTTTGTGGAAAATCTGCCCAGTGCTCTTTGGAGCCATGGTGTCATGTAGAGGAAATGTCTCCTGCCTTGTAAATCATTTTTCCTCCTATTTTCTTCCTCTTTCCCAAACAGAATTTTTTTTTTTTTTTTTTTTTTTTTTTTTTTTTGGGTTTTTTTTTTTTTTTTTTTTTTTTTTTTTTTTTTTGAGACGGAGTCTCGCTCTGTTACCCAGGATTGCAGTGGCATGATCCTGGCTCACTACAAACTCCACCTCCTGGGTTCAAGTGATTCTCCTGCCTCAGCCTCCCAAGTAGCTGGGACTACAGGCACATGCCACCATGTCCGACTAATTTTTTGTATTTTTAGTAAAGACAGTGTTTTACCATGTGAGCCAGGATGGTCTCCATCTCCTGATCTCATGATCTGCCCGCCTTGGCCTCCCAAAGTGCTGGGATTATAAGCTGTGAGCCACGGCCCCAGGTCCCCAAATAGGTTTTTTTTTTTTTTTTTTTTTTGGTTAAGGTGAATGAGGATAATGAGAAAAAGAGAACTTAATGAAAAGGAAACCATGGATACCAGTTTATAATACTAGCCTTATTTTTTTTTTAAAGGAAAGCAATGAGGTTGAAGCAAATTGGATAATAAAAAAATAAGAAATATTATCTAAGTAGTAATGTCTATATGTTCTCTCTGGATTAGATAGTTGTTAAACCATATATTTAATTTGTTGAACATTTTGTGGTTATTGCTCTGTTTATAAAATGATTGCCGGTTTAAAGTCTCATTCAGAAGAGGAAGCCAGGGAACATTGTAATAAATATGTATTAGTCCTGAAGTAGTGTTTAAACAATAGAGCTGACAGTTCTTAGCAGGGCTCTGGTGTTACAACCAAGAGTTAAGACACAACAGAATTTAAAATAGGTCTTATATAAGAAATTTTTTCTCAGGGGTGTATATTTTGAATCTGTTTTCAGTGAACAGAGAAGGAAGATACTGAGAAATGCATTTTTGACTGGGAGAAGTGAAGGAGACACATGGAAGGAGACAAGAGATGAATCAAATATTTTCTTTAGAAAGAGAAGTCACAAAAAACCTATTAGCAATTTGAGATTGGACGCTATGAGTACCATTGCTTTTGGGACTCTGCCAACAGAAATTTTTCTAAATTAGTTTTTAAGTGACAAGAATTATATATATTTATCATGTGCAACATGTTGTTTTGAAATATGCATACATTGGGGAATGGCTAAATTGAGCTAATTAACATATGCATTACCTCACATACTTGCGTCTGTGTGTGTGGTGAGAACTCTTAGAATCTACTCTTCTCATTTTCAATAGTACAACCTATTATTATTGACTATATCACCATGTTGCACAATAGGTCTCTTGAACGTTTCTCCTATCTAACTGAAATTTTATAACCTTTGACCAATATCTCTTTGTAAAAATTCAACGGGGATTATTGGTCAGAGGTCCTTGGGAAATCGACCAGGCTCCTCACTGTCCTATACTTCTCTTTTATAGTTAAGTGTTGCCTGCCATAGAATTGTTGAAGCCCTTCCTCTTCCTAGAATTAGAAAGTCATTCTGGAGAAAGAGGCAGGGCCTAAGGAATAACTCAGTCTTGCTCAAGACAGTGCAGAGCGGGAACCTGAGTTATATCTCATTTGTGCCTCTCTTACCTCATCCTTGTCCTAGCCCTGAGAGGCAACTGGTGCTGTCAGAGAGCTCTGGGATTTAGGCAAGACAGCAATTCGATCTGGACACCTCCCAGGACCATGATGGCTGGGAGCCCACACTGGCTCAGGTGTGGCAGCAGCTCCAGCAAAGAGAAAGTACTGGTTCTATGCCTCAGCTTCAACTGTGCAAAGTGACAGTTTACCCCTATGACTAACATATACTTAAAACACCCAAAATGCACCTGCAACTGATTAGATCTCCCAGAGTTAGCCCAGGCTGATCCACGTGCCTGCTCGAACAGCTGAGAATTTGTTTTCAGAACTGTGTGGTCTGACTGTCTCTCAAGAGGCTTATGGGTGCTTGGCTTGGTTTTCAAATATATTTTCTGTGGTCCACTCTAATTCTGACCATCTATCCCCACTCTCCGGGTCCTGAGATCCACCCTTCTGTTCTGTTTGGTGATCAGACAATGACTCCTGATCTTCTGTTCCTGTGAACAGAATGCCCAGATACTAGATCACAGCTGGGCTGTGTCTTCTCCATCAGAGGAAATGAGATTGTTCTTATAAAAATGTTAGGAGGTAGGTGTCTTGACTGCTTGGATTTGGCATATATAGATAAGGCTGTTTCCCATCCTCCCCAGGTACAGCTCCTTCTCCACTCCCCAAAGCACCTTAATTATTTACTGCTTTCCCTGCCAGTATCCACAGAGCATGATTTACACATTTTGTCCTCATCTGACTATGGTCTTCATGAGTCCAGGGACAGCGTCTCATTAGGCATCGGCCTCTGTAGCACTTCACCTAGTGCCTGGGACTTCAGAAGGAATTCTTAGCTGAATGAATGAGTGAATATCAAATGTATAACTATCAAAGGGCATTCATGGGAACTTCTGCTTCTCATCTGAGTAGAAGGTATTTTTCTTGACGCTCAAGCATCTTTTTTGCTAGCCATTGAAACTGCATCAGGAAGACATTGTGATAACTGAGGCATGGCCAGAGGAACAGATCCAGAGAAGAGACATTGCCATGAATCACACCTAGGTACTTGTTTAGATAACAAAGGGTAACACCAGAGTTAGTAATCAGGTAGACTAGACAGACTGCCTTATTACAAAAGCACAAAATGAAGAAATAATTGTTAGTTGGGAGCCTGTTGCTTTAGAATGTAAGTGAAAATGTTGGCAAATTATATTTATGTTGGATAAGATCCTTAGACTATTATCCCAGATATATTGTAAAATTTTTATGACTCAGTGTAGCGTATCCATGGGGTTGACTCAAGAGTATCATCATGTGGCAGAAAGATTCTTACAATATGTTCCTCCACTGCTGTCTTGTGGGTGGTTTCTGAATGAAGCATTTAAGTGCTCTGGGCTTAATTTTTGTTATAGAAAACAAATAGGCGAAGTTGTGCCTAAAATCTTTCCAATCTTTAAAATATAATGATTTTTATACTTTTAAGTGGTTTCAAAAAACACACAATCATTCAGAGTGCTATTTTCATTTTAAAGAAGCTCCAAATATACTTCTTTCCATTAATATAATTTAAATATTTACATAAAATTTGTTGTATGTTTAATTATTTATTATAAAAAATTAATATATATATATATATATTTTTTTTTTGAGATGGAGTCTCATTCTGTCACCTAGGCTGGAGCGCAGTGGTCTGATCTCGGCTCATTACAACCTCTGTCTCCTGGGTTCAAACGATTCTCCTGCCTCCCTTCCCAAGTAGCTGGGATTACAGGCATGTGCCACCACACCTAGCCAATATTTTATATTTTTAGTAGAGACAAGGTTTCACCATGTTGGTCAGGCTGGTCTCGAACTCCTGATCTCAAGTGATCCTCCCGCCTTGGCCTTTTAAAGTGCTGGATTACAGGTGCAAGCCACTGCACCAGGCCAAAAGATCAATACTAATTAGAAATCAATTAGATACACTGTACCACAATGATGTTCTCATCACAATTTGCTGAACAACCATTTGTCAGGGCTGATAGGAGTGGGCTACCTCTCTCTGGAGCTGTGAGAGCCCCAGAAGCCTTTATTTACAACCCTGGAGGGAAAAGTGATAAGCACACCACAAGGAGGAAGCAGGGAAAAGAGCTGGAGGGGGAAAGCAGTCACTCGTATGTGACTTCTTCCATGTAATTGTTCCTCTACCGTGATCCCCTCCATCCAGCCAGTAGGAAGTGTGGAGAAGACAGAGATGAGTTACCAACGCATCGTGAGAAAATTGAAATGCACGGGTTCCCTGTCCTTCCTATCTCCCGTTATTACCCCAGTGTTCCCAATTGTGCAACAGTGTGACCTTACATCAGACACAAAAAAGAGGGAGTTTGGCAATGACGTGATAAAACCTTCTGATGGAAATATAATTCCCTTTGCTTTAAAAAAAAAAAAAGGTATAAATGATGTACAAAAATTATGGTCTAACTTGAGCACTCAATTCCATTGATACACAGTATATGCTACCAATGTCTATTAAAAAATAAGATTTTGCGGGCTTTCTAATCTTGTTTAATAATGAGGAAGATGGTACAGCTTGGCTTTTCCCTGTAAGAATGCTGAAACAGGTTCTGATAAAAAAATAAACCAACACAAGCCAGACAGCTTCCTCTTTCCTCTGTGTTTCCCTTCTTCCACAGCTTTGGGTTCTTCCAGAATACCTGTTACCTCAGATTAGGGTGGGATGCCTTTGAGATAGTCCCACAGAGGGGAAACTAAGCTTTGGATGGTTTGATGTTATCAAGGCCCCGTGCTAGCTGCTTGCATCCATGATCTCATGATGGCCATGCAAACATTTATATGAGATAAATTCTCCTTGACTGGAGCCATACTCTTACCTTCTTGTCAATCTCTGCTTAATTATAATCAATGTCATGGGAATTTCATAACTGATTCAGGATTTTTTTCAGAGGAAAGCTGGGCTGTGCATTTGTGGACAAATTCTCCCTGAAATCTCAGAAAGTCCAAAGTTGAATTGCCTGGTATATGGCTGTCTTGGCATACTATCTCTGAACAAACTGGTTTTATCTGGTGTTTTGTTCAGAGTGTCAGTGAGGGTGTATAGTAGGTGGCAGATGTAGGAAGAAGGCAATTTGATAAATGACAGCTATAAAATGAAACAAGGAAGGAACATCACTAAATTTGTGTTCAAGTTACTTCTGCCATTTGAGGGGTCCTAGGTTGGAAGTGACAAACTGATAGGGTCAGAGAAATGAATCACTATGTTTAGAAGTGTCAAGGTTGACTGGAGTTCTTTCTGAATAATGAAAAGAAAGCTTTATCACATCATCAGCTTTGACTGGAAGTGGAAAGAAGACAGAGTTGAACAATTGCCCAGAGAAAAACTGATTTTGTACATACTTCACAAGCTAACATAGACCATTCCTTGTAAAACCCTTCCTTTGAGAAAAATTGCACATGCTCTCCATCTCCCTGATTTGATTTATTTGCACTGTCTAACAATCTCCCCTCCCTTCCCCTCCCCTCCCCTTCCCCTCCCCTTCCCCTCCCCTTCACTTCCCTTCCCTTCCTCTCCTTCTCACTCTCTCTCTCTCTCTCTTCCATTCTTCTTTTTTTCCCTGAGTCTCACTCTGTCACCCAGGCTGGAGTGCAGTGGCCCAATCTTGGCTCACTGCAAACTCCGCCTCTGGGTTCAAGCAATTCTCCTGCCTCAGCCCCCTGAGTGGCTAGAACTACTGGGAAGTACCACCATACAGGCTAATTTTTGTATTTTTAGGAGAGACAGGGTTATACCATGTTGGCCAGGTGGTCTCGAACTGATCTCAAAAGATCTGCCCACCTTGGCCTCCCAAAGTGCTGGGATTATAGGCCTGAGCCACCTTGCCCTGCCTTGTCTAACCATTTCATGATGCATATTATTTTGCCACTTCATTTCTCTTGCAGAGTCCAATATGAAGTATTGAAAAGAAATTGGATATCTCAACTTCTCTTTAAGACACAATCCTAATGTTTTGTTTTGTTTTGTTTTTCTTAAAGCCATGAAAACAAAAAGTACCAAGTCTGTGCCAGGTTTTCATTTTGTTTTATGTGTGTGTGTGTGTGTAATAATAATGAGTTACTTCATATGAGCTTCCAGATTCACTGGTTCTGGCAGAGAGATATTTGTGCAGCTCTTACACAAGCTCACTCCTGACTAGCTGAGGTAGGGCATCCAAACTACAGCTGTGGAAAAACAAAACTAACTGAAATAGACATAACATTCACATTTTTTGTTAGCGTTGTTGCTTTCACCAAATGCTTGTTCAGCTCTTAGTTGTCGTTCAAAACCTGCTCAGGCATTGCCTTCTCAATGAGCCTCTTTAGCCACACTTCCTACTCCCTCTCCTCCCCTCATGCCTCATTTTCCCTATACTCTTTCTAGACTTTGTGCGTATTTCCACGTTGAAACTGTCCTTCACGTTCTGTTTATGTCTCTGACGTTTCTACTAGTACGTGAATATCTAGAGAGAATAGATGTGATTTTGCTGGTAGCCCTCCACCTAACAATGAATGGAAAGAGTAGGAGCAAAATAAGTGGATTTTTACTTGACCTGACTTCAGTCATTTTCATAGAGTGCACCGGCAGTTCCAGAAACATACTGTTCTCTTGGTGCGGAATATCTACCATTAATGTTTTATTTATTTTCTGACTCAGAAAATTTCTTCAAAGCCGGTTCTGATCTATTGTGAAATATCCTTTTTGTGAACCACTTCCCATGCCATCCCTTAACACAGATATGCACATAACCCAGGCAGAGTGTTTCTTTGTGGGTTCTAGGCAGTGATGGGAAATGAAAATACTACATTGCATGAATTTTAAAACCAAACTTTTTTTCTACTACTTCTCCTTTTTTTTTTTTTTTTTTTTTTTTTTTTTTTTTTTTTTTTTTTTTTTTTTTTTTTTTTTTTTTTTTTTTTTTTTTTGAGACAGAGTCTTACTCTGTTGCCCAGGCTGGAGTGCAGTGGTACGATCTCAGCTCATTGCAACCTCTGCCTCCCGGGTTCAAGTGATTCTCTTGCCTCAGCCTCCCCGGTAGCTGGGATTACAGGCAGGCGCCACCACGCCTGGCTAATTTTTGTATTTTTAGTAGAGTGTTTAGTAGAGTGTTTCACCATGTCGGTTAGGCTGGTCTCAAACTTCTGACTTCATGATCTTCCTGCCTCAGCCTCCAAAAGTGCTGGGATTACAGCTGTGAGCCACTGCACCCAGCCTTCTACTACTTCTTGAACTGAAATAAGGGAGTATTTCACGATCGATGACATCTTATAGTTGGCAGTGTTTTTTTTTTCTTTTTGAACAGTACCTGAAATAATGTGTCTTTGATGATATCCTAAATTTGTTAAAAGATAGTACTTATAAAAAAAGTCGTACTGGTAGCCAGGCCAGCCCTGCCAGGTTATATGTAAATTCGGGATATGTTCCAAGTGCTACGTTAAAAATAAACCAAAACAGAAACAGACTTTGTAGAATAGAGTGAAAGGGCGAGCCTTGAAGGATCATGGGCAAAGTTCACAGGGTATTCATTGTTCTGTCCCTGGCATCTGATCTACTATGTACATGGCACATACCTATCACTTAAAACACAAAAATAATTGCTAATGGTTTTGAGTCCCTGCTATGTAGAAGTCACTGTGTTTTAAGTATTTTTCGTATGTGAGCTCATTTAATTCTCAGGATAACTCTTTGAGTGAGTTCAATTATGATTCCCATTTTTCTGCATAAAGTCAACTGAGGATAGATAGGCGACTTGCTCTAAGTTCTGTAGGTAGTAAGTGGCAGAGCTCTGCTGGGTCTCAGGGGCATTTGACTTTAAAGGCGATGCTCCTACGTTCTGTGCAGCACTTTCTCCCTAATGGATATTTATTTTAAATAAATGCCATTTCTACTAATTTTGACGGCTATTTGCTTGAGTACCCCAACCCCAGTTTCCATTAGTCATTAAATGCTTCCCTGAGATTTAATATTTAGATGAATATTGCTGATTTTTAATAAACAGTTCATTGGAAAATATTTTTTAGGCACCAACAGATCTTTTATTGACAGAAAGACAATAAAACTTATAAGTATTAAAATTGGATATCTTCTTTATGAGATTTTTATAACATACAAATTTTAATGTCAAAAACTAATTTAAACATAAAAATTGGAGTAAACATCATGAAATTTGAAAACAATTTTAGAAGTAAGCTTTGTTTAGAAAACATAAATAGCAGAGACACGGAATCAACCCAAATGCCCATCAGGAATAAAAGGATAAAGAAAATGTGGTACATATACACTATGGAATATTATGCAGCCATAAAAAAAAATAAGATCATGTCCTTTGGCTGGAGCTGGAAGCCATTATCCTCAGCAAACTATTGCAAGAACAGAAAACCAAACACAGCATGAAAAATATTTTTTTAAATTTAATGTTCATAGGCAAAATGCTATCAAAAGTGAAACTCTTATTCAGGCATGGTAGCCCATGCCTGTAATCCCAGAACTTTGGGAGGCCAAAGCAGGAGGAGTGCTTGAACCCAAGAGTTCAAGAACAGCCTGGGAAACATAGCAAGACTCTGCCTCTACAAAAAATAAAAAATTAGCTGGGCGTGGTGGCACACAACTGTAATCTCAGATACTTGGGAGGCTGAGGCAGGAGGAGTGCTTGAGCCCAGGAAGTTGAGGCTACAGTGAGCCCTGATCACACCATTGCACTCCAACCTGGGTGTCAGAGCGAGATCCTGTATCAAAACAAAACAAAAAGACAAACAAATGAACAAAAACAACTCTCAAAAAAGCCATTTGTGATTATGATGGTGTTGTATTTCATAGATGTGATATTGTTGAGATAAAATTTGTTATAAGTAGGAAAAAATGCAATCCCTATTTTGGAGAATTGTCACCCTTGAGTTCCCTGTGAGAAAATAAACGAAGTTCAGTGGACTTTATTAACCTCCTCTTTGGGGCTGAGATGTGGTATTTTTTTTTTTTCCAATACCAGGAATCTCAGGCATAATTTTAAGAAGTCACTGATGAAACTGAAATTCAGGTACAAAAGATTCTGTTAGACAGTTCACTTTTTTCTCTTTTTATTCATTGCAGAGAGTTGGAACTTGAGGTGGTAAGGTTAACACTGCACAGGGTAAGGGAAGAAGCATTGGCCTAGACCAAGCTTGAGTGTGCACCACCGTCACCTGGAGGGCTTGTTCCAGCACGGAGGGCTGGACCCACCCCCAGAGTTTCTGATTTATTAGGTCTGTGCTGGGCCCTGAGAATGTTTATTTAAAACAAATTCCTGGATGCTACTGGTTCAGTTGCCACACTCTGAGACCCACTGGCCTTGAGCTTAGAAGACGTGGGTTTGATTTCTGGATTCCACAATTTGCTAGCTATAACTTAGGGAATTTAAATTACTTACCTGAGTCTTGGTTTCTGATTTGTAAACTGAACTGTAAACTACCTGTTCTTCTCATTTTATAAGACTTTTGTGAGGATAAAAGAATCCATATGCAAATTATTTAAAAACCTGTCGTTGTTGTTGTTACTAGTATTATTGTGAAAGAAGCTGTTGATTTATGTCATCCCCAGCTAGGAGCTGACAGAACATTTGGGTTGCACAAGGTCTGCTGGAGCACTTTAGAGAATTCCAGATGAATCTTGATTGCATCCTGGAATGTACCGCTGGAGCCCTGGGGACCAGCATGGGACATGAGTGAAGACAAGATGGGCTCTACTGTCCTCCAGACCTGCATATGTGTGTTCGAATCCTAACTCCATGGGGCTTGAGTCTGTATCCCTCTGGAAAAATGGGAGTAAAAGTGCTTACCTTATGGGTTTATTCTGAGGACTATTTTAGATAATGCATTTAAAGAACTTGCTCAGTGCATAGCACATCACAGGCACTCACTAAATATTAGCTCTTAATATAGTTATGAAAACTAAACCCAGTGGGGAGAAAATGCAAGGCCATCTTGGTAATGAGGGAGTCAGCTCTCTGAGCCCAAAAGACCATATTCCAGGGCCAGGCATAGTGGCTCACACCTGCAATCCTAGCACTTGGGGAGGCTGAGCCAGGGGATAACTTGGGGCCAGGGGTTTGACACTAGCCTGGCTAACATGGAAAAACCCCATATTTACTAAAAATGAGAAAACTTAGCTGGGTGTGGTGGCACACACCTGTGGTCCCAGATACTCAAGAGGCTGAGGCATGATAATTGCTGAAACCTGGGAGGTGGAGGTTGCAGTGAGCTGAGGCTGTGCCACTGCATTCCAGCCTGGGTGACAGTGCAAGAAAAAAACAAAAGACCATATTCCAATGCTGCTGCTCTGAGAGAGCAGTTGGATTCATTGACCTCCCAGGTTGCTTCCGAATGAGATCCTAATGTCAGCACAAAGCAAATGCATCTAGTCAGTTGCCAGCAGCCAGGGCTGTTTTCCCCAGTCTTCCCTTATGACTGATAGCTACACCATTCATTTCTTTGCTACAACCTACCTTGTAATTATTAAGGAACACTTTCTGGAATTCCCTAGCAGGCAGAGCACTAACAATAGAAAATTGAAAATAAATGGAGATTAGTCCACAGAGCTCTTCATTTTTCCCTTGGATTATGTGACAGTTGAATCAAGCCTAAACTAGACAATGCATGGCAACACAATGAGCTCTGCACTAACAAACGCCAGATAAGCTCCGGCAGTCTGCTTTGGGTGGGTGGAAGTTCCAGGCTTGCAACACCCTGTAGAAAATAGAAGCAACAACTGGAGCACAATTGCTGACCCAGTCGCTAACCCTGATGCCAAGTCATGGGGCTGGAATGCAGCTCAGCTCCATACTGGAAAGCCTTTTCTCTTATGCTTCATGGTGATTAGAAGTTATCCACTCCGGCTGCAAGTCTTTTTGCACATCACATGAACTAACACTTTGCCATTCAACTTGACAGCACAAATGATACGATGGGCAGGGTGTCCTCAAACATGCGTGCCTGTTCCTGTGATAGCAAGTGGTTGACTCAGCAAGAATGGAAGAGAACTTGCTCAGCTTTGAGCTTTCTCCTCTTCACTGGGTTTATGCAAGCTAGGTGGGTCGCAGGACAGGTGAGGAAAGGTGAGGGTGAGGCATTTCAATGTTATCTGAGAACACTAGTTGCCTCCCTTGACATTCCTTGCTAGCAAATGTGAAAATGCGATACCCTGTGTGAATGTGCCTACTCTGTCCTGTCCTTTCCCCTAAGATATGAGGAGTGAGATCCCCTTATTATTAAGTTTTCCAGTGGAAATGCCCACTGTGGTTGCAGGATAATGCACCACCCATTTTGTACACAACTGATTTTTTCTGATTTGATGTAAACTTGTGACTTTTTTGCCATTCACTACCCAATTACTTCTAATTCTGAGGACTTTTTCTCACATTCTTCCCTGGTTTCGGTCTCTGGAGCACTGACTTCCTTTCCATGTAATTCACTGCCAGCTTTCCCAGTGACCTCCAGGTTCTTAATCTTCTGGTGTCTTCCATTTGGATAAGCTCTGTCTTCATATGGTCTCAGCCACTCCCCAGGAGGCTTGGCCACAACTCAGATCCACTCCATTTTTCAGGATGGCACATTTGGAAATCCCTTTCTTTTCTGACTCCCTCCTTCCCTCTTTCTGCTATGCTTTTGCTTTTCATCTTGCTTGACTTCTGCTGCATAGTCCTTACCTGGTCACCTACTCCAACACTGCATTTGGTTCCGTTCTCCCACATCAGTCTGAAATCACCGGTCCATCATTCAGTTGAGGGTCACCCTGCAATCCTCTTCCGTGCTGTCTCTCAAATCTGTCTTCTCTTCCATTCCTCCAGGTGCTCTCTAAGACACTTGCAAGGATCTCCCACCTCGTCTCCTTATCTTCCAATCTGCTCTGCTCTAATCTATATTAGTTTAGGAGGATCATCCTGCTTTTGAAACTCCAAGAAAGCTTTTCCAACTCTTACCCACCAAAGCCCTTCTACTTCTTGCTCTAAGTCTCACCCAAGCTCTTTCCTCTCCTTTGAAATGCTCTCTCTCATCTCTGCCTCAAAAATACCATCTGTTCTTTCTAAAGACCATCTCAAATAACATCTTCAGATTCCTGAAAATTTACTTGACTCCCTCTTGGTGTCCATCCTAGCTATAATGGTTTATATTTTTGTTTTATCTCCTCTGCAATGTGATCAGTGGAAGGTTGATGAGCTCTGGACTTAGAGAGAGATCTGGTATAAGTTATCGGTATTTACCAGTTGTGTCATCTTGGGCAAGTCACTCCGTTTTGCTAAGACCAAGTGTTGGAAACAGATGCTCGGTGTCGCAAAGAAAAATCAGCACCGAGACAACAGATCTCTCAGCAAAGCAATTTTTACTTCCTGGGCTGCAGGAACGCTACTCTCGCTAGCCATTTTGCCGTGATTTAAACTAAAACCCGATTGGCTAACAACTTAAAACTTTTCTAAACAGGTAAAAGCAGTGGCGAGCTGGGACATGCCTGTGAGCACATCCAGCACAGATATCTCAGTTAAAGTACAAGGACATAGAATGTACTACGTGCCTGTAAACATGGCATGTCTAACAGCTACATAGGATAGGGCTTAACAAAGAATTATTAGCACATGTATGATTTATTATTTAACAAGAAAGAAGACTTTAAAGAGGAACTTCACTACTTTCTACACTAAGTTTCCGCCTTTGTATAAAGGGCTGATGCTATCAAGCTCATGGGATTGTCAGGATTAAATGAGATGCTAAAATGACTGCCATATGAAAGCCCTTCAGTAAATATTATTTCTTCTCTTTTTCCCCATTCTGTGCATCCTTGAGGTATGAGATTATCCCTACTCATTTGGTTTCCTTGGAAGGCCAACAGTGCTTGACGCCTAGTAGGCTATCAATAAATAATTACTGCATTCATATCATCTGCCCATTTTCATATTGAAAGCTAGCGCTCCAGAGAATGTATTTTTCATTTGCAGCTCATTTCCTACTTAATTCTGGCAAGTTTAAAGCAGAATATTCTTTATATACTAAGCAGTTAACAGAGAAATCTAGTACTAACAATTCTTTCTTGTCTATTGAGAAAGACTAGCGGCTATGTGGTCTATGTCTGGCTTGGAGTTAAAGAGAAAATTTTTAAGTGTGTGTGACAAAAACTCATAATAGTGACATTTGAGAAGCTTCCTTTTCAGCTTATTGATTCAACACGACCCAATAGGATTGGGGCTAGTCATGGCCCTCTCCGAGTTTCAGAGCCAATAGGAAATGAGCTGGGAGCACTGATTCACTTCCTTAAGTGTGTGTGTGGTGCGGCTTGGTGTAGGGCATAGGGATTCCTGTTACAAAATCTAGTGATACTGCAGTATTCCTGGCTAAAGAAGTGCTTCTTTTAGGAAAAGCTAAGCTTCAAGCTAGATATGTTTGTCAAAGGTCTCATGATGTAGAACAAAGATTATTGAATTTGGAGTAGTGCAGAGGCTTGGCCTCAAATCTCAGTTGCACTACACAGCAGTGGAACCTCGTGCATGTTACTTGAACCTCTTTCTCTTTTAAAAGGCGAGCGCAATACTCACATCACAGATTGTTGTAAGGATCGAAGCCATGCTTATGAATGCACCCTGTAGAGTGCACGACATATACAGAGAAAGCGGTTCACAAATGTTAGTTTTGGAATGCCAAAATGTGTAGAGAACTTCCTGTAAAAGAAAGACCTAGTTTACTTTGCAGAAATGCAATCGTATGCACTATGTTATTGCCCATATGCCTGTGTGATAGTTTTTATGCGTCAACATGGCTAGGCTCAGGTGTTTGGTCAACAGCAGTCTAGAAGTGGCTGTGAAGGCATTTTTTAGTTATGACTAACAGTTCAATCAGCAGACTTTAAGCAAAGCAGATTACTCTCCATAATGAGAGTGAGTTTCATCTGATCAGTTGAAGGCCTTAAAAAGAAAAAACAAAAACAAAAACAAAAAACTGTGGTCCCCCAGGGAAGGAGGAGCTCTGCCTCCTGTCTGTCTTCAGACTAGAGCTGCAACATCAGTTCTTCTCTGAGTCTCTAGCCTGCTGACTCTGCAAATTTTGACTTGCCTGCCCCCAAAATTGCATGAGACAGTTCCTTAAAATAAATCCCTATTTACCTATTTATCTGTCTGTCCTGTTGGCTCTGTTTCACTAGGGAAGCCTAACTAATTCAGCCCACCTTGCTCCCTGCATAGTAATTGAATATCAGGAACTGTATCTAACTCATCTTCACATCCCCAGTACCTAGCACAGTGCCAAATCTATAGCAAATATTCATGCTTATTGAACTGCAGAGAATAGCGGCTCACATTCAGACACTATTTTATAAAAGTGGTACTTGCAGGCCGGGCGCAGTGGCTCATGCCTGTAATCCCAGCACTTTGGGTAACCAAGGTGGGTGAATCAAGAGGTCAGGAGTTTGAGACCAGCCTGGCCAACACGGTGAAGCCCTGACTCTACCAAAAATACAAAAAATTAGCTGGACGTGGTGGCGCACGCCTGTATTCCCAGCTACTTGGGAGGCTGAGGCAGGAGAATCACTTGAACTCGAGGCGGAGGTTGCAGTGAGCCGAGATAACCACTGCACTCCAACCTGGCGACAGAGTGAGACCCTGTCTCAAATAAATAAATAAATAAATATTAAAAAGTAAATTATAAAAGGTACTTGCATAGAAGGTTAAATCAATTCATTCCTCTACCTAGTTATTCATCCGTCAGACATTTTGAGGGGAGCTTATTCCATCTGACTGTGCTTGACACTGGTGATGCAGAGAGAAAAGACACAATGCCTTCTCACTGTCTAACGATGGAGT